CATGTCATGGAGGCTGACTAGTCAGAATGGGAGGGGTGCCTTATGAGGAACAATTGGGTTTCGAAATATAAGAGGTAACTTGGCCGCAACATATAAGTTCCTGTGGGGTCTTGACAGGTTAGATATGGGAAAGATGTTTCCTCTAATGGGAGAAGCCGGGGAATCACTGTTTAAAAATAAGGAGTTGTACATTTAAGACAGAAATTAGAAGATTTTTTTTCTCACAGAATGTTCTGAATCTTTGGACAACTTCCTCAAAAGGCAGTGGAAGCAGAGTCTTTGAATATTTTTAGGGCAGAGGTAGACAGGCTCTTGATAAGCAAGGAGCGAAAGACTATTGAAGATAGGCTCGAACATGGATTCAGATTTCAATCAGATCAGCCATGATCTTCTCAAATGGTTGAGCAGGTTCAAGGGACTGAATGGCCTACTCCTGTTCCTAATTTGTATATCATACGAAATTGCTAGTGCATAGCGGTAATGTGCAGGCAAGGTCATTGATTCATGATTGATTCTGAAGTTCCTTTGTTCACAGCCATTACTTCCACTTAGTCAGTCTGCTGTGAAAATACCGTAGTGTCAAATGCTCATCAGGCACTTTGGTTTTAAAGGTAAAGTGCCAAGTGGAACTGGGCCATGGGGACAACCATTGATAAATGGCACTAATGGAACAAAAGGACAGCTTTAGAGTTAACTTTAAAAATATCCAGGGCAGAGGCCTGTTGTTTTAAAAAAAGAACACATTTAAGTCACATTTCTTCCCCTTCAATTCCCTTCAGTTACCTCTCAGCTCTGTGCCTTTGAGGAGATCTTGTGTACATCCTGATGCTTCTCAGCAGGAAGACAAAACTTGGAGGAAACACCACATGTTTCACAGTTTCTCAAGTGTTAGCAATGGGTGAGGCTTAAGAGGTCTGACCATCTTTCCAGCTGTGATTGCAGTGATATTGTTCCCAAAAAGAAATATTGAAATAATCGGATGAAATTTCTGTTACCCTTTAAATATGAAAACTGGGCATTTCCCACAGGAGATCTTTTGTTAATTATACTATCCATGTAATGTTGAACCACAGAGACTTGGATGAACCTGGATTTAATTTCTGGCCTGCACGGTTATCTCAGCCAGGGCACTGCAAGGAATCCTACAATTGAAGTCACATTTTTAAAAAGTTAGCTGGAGTCAATCAGTCACCAATCCATATGGCAAAGTAGAGATGGTCACCAAAAGTAAATCTTGTTTTCAGCTTGTTTCCTATCAAGTCTGCAAGCTGAAAAATA